TAATATGCTCTTTTTGATGGAAATGAAAACATTTTCTTCTTTATATATATATATGTCATGTATATAAAGAAAAGTTCAGTATAATCTGTAGGCTGGTAATGTATATAAGAAAATTAATAAAAGATATAATAACTGTTTCATCACACATTCAACAGGTACCAGAAATGTGGTTGAATTGAAACCATTATTATTTTTTATTAATTTTCTAATATATGAAATATATATATATTTATATAATTAATATCAGAGAATATGTAAATATAAGTATATGTCATACTAATACTGTGTGTTACCCCCAGGAAATCATTTTCAATAGGTGTTTGTCAAATTTAAAGTAAAGGAAATCCTAATGCTTTATGTAATTCTAAATCTATTTATTAGGCTAAATTTAAAGGGTCTTTTTCCTTTATATCAACAAATGAAAGGTATAGAAATAAACAAAGCGATATTGTGCCATTGGATGATTATAAACCAATCAAAATCATTCTTACATATGTAGGTTTATTTTTAGTGTACATAGTTTGTTTTTATACCTTAACAGGATAGTAGTGATTTTATATTGGAATTTATAACTTGAGGATAAACATCGCTAATTGATAATTATTTTACAGTTAAATTACAGGTATTGTATGATTGATTTACCTGTAAAGGTGTGTTTACCTTTTCACACCTACTTAATAATTGATAATTTACCTTGAATAAAATTAAATGCTAAACCCTTGGGCATTTCATGTTAAGATATTACAAGAAATGAAAATGTCTGCACTAAATGTACATTTAACTTAATTCTGGTGAAAGGCCTGCTGGGGGGGGGGGGGGGGGGAGAGGATTTAACTTAATTCTGGTGAAAGGCCGGCTGGAGGGAGATGATTTAACTTAATTCTGGTTTTAGGCCTGCTGGAGGGAGAAGATTTAACTTAATTCTAGTGTAAGGCCTGCCGGAGGGAGAGGATTTAACAAATTTCTGCAGTATGCTTACTTTCATAGAATTAACCATCATATTCAAGCCTGATTAATAAAGTTTTCACTCTCACCTCTTGTGCTTATAGATATGAACTGCTTGTGTTTTATTTTATTCTTTAATTTACTGTTGGGTTCAGGTAAGGGAGGGAAGAAATGGCTTTTATCCTAAAAAATCAGAAGAGAAGCAAAAGATACCAAAGGGACATTCAAGCTCATAAGTTGGCAATAACTTAACAACACCAAGTCACAACAAAGAAAAAGACAAACAACAGTACACAAAACACAACATAGTTAACTAAAGACTGAGCAATACAAACCCCACCAAAAACTGGGAGTGATCTCAAATGTCCCTTTTCCCTATAGTATTATTTTATGACACCCATGAGCACAAGTGTTACAGTTGTGATATTTGAAATGGTGCATTTGGCTAGTTGACCTGTACTTAAGTTGTGATACCATGGTGCCCTAGCTGGTGTGCCCCAGCTGGTGTTCCAGGCTAGTGGGACTATACTTTAGTTGTGATACCATGGTGCCCTGGCTGGTATTCCAGGCTAGTGGGACTATACTTAAGTTGTGATAATACATCACCTCAGAATGATTGGGCTCTACTTAAGTTGATAGTAATGTGCTTTTAATGTAATTTTCTTAAAATGAACACCATTTTTGGACCCTGAAATAGAGTTTGGGCCAACACAGAACTATAAAAAATGTGTACTCCAAAGGAGGCTCATCATAGTGTCTGGGTTGCAACCTGAGGTTTTCTTTTTTTAACTTGTTAAAACTTTGGGCTTTCCCTTGCTGTAAATATTAAAACCATTCAATACAATATGTGATAATTCAAATGATAACCAATGTCAAGATGCTCAGACTTACTAATGAAGTCTTTTGTTTGCCTTGAATAAAAGTCTGTAATATTTTAGGAGTTTCCTCTTCAAATCTTTTAATGAATTAATGTCCTCTAGAAAATTTAGAATTAATAGAATTGTTGGTTTATTAATTACTTGATTAATTTATTTTGTTTGAAACCCTGAAGATTTAATTATTAATTGTCCACCATGACATCATCTAGGGTTTCAAGAGTTCAAGTGCCCCTTTACCTATTGAATTTTCTAAAATTGATTCTTTCCTGACTTAGATTAAGTATCATTGAAGCACAGGAAAAATATTTATCTATTCACAATCATAATGGGATCAAGTAAAAAGTTAAAGAGCTGGAGTAATTTCTAAAAAAATATTTGTTGACAATTCTTCCTTTAGAGAAAATATTGAGAAAGAATGTTGAGTTTTGTTATTGTTTTTTTACATCCTGGATAAATATTTGTTCAATTTTTATGTCTTTCTCAATCTTACCTTGGGGTTCCCCTGGGGATTCCCATTGGAATCAAATTAGGTGGAGTCCCTTAAGTCAATTGACTCAATACAGTTTCTGGAGTATATTTGTCCAGGATTTTATTTTATATACCTAATCCAACAGCATAATTTTGATCTTGGGGTAATACAAATGACTAAAGTGTAATTGAAATTGAATATGAATGAGTTATCAAAATGATCACTGAATGTCCCTAGGTAACTCCAGATACAGGCTGAATGTCCCTATGTAATTCAGATACAGGCTGAATGTCCCTAGGTAACTCCAGATACAGGCTGAATGTCCCTAGGCAACTCCAGATACAGGCTGGATGTCCCTGTAACTCCAGATACAGGCTGAATGTCCCTAGGTAACTCCAGATACAGGCGGGGTGTCCCTGTAACTCCAGATACAGGCTGAATGTCCCTAGGTAACTCCATATACAGGCTGAATGTCCCTAGGTAACTCCAGATACAGGCTGGATGTCCCTGTAACTCCAGGTACAGGCTGAATGTCCCAAAGTAACTCCAGATACAGGCTGAATGTCCCTAGGTTACTCCAGATACAGGCTGAATGTCCCTTAAGGCAACTCCAGATACAGGCTGAATGTCTCTAGGTAACTCCAGATACAGGCTGAATGTCCCTTAAGGTAACTCCAGATACAGGCTGAATGTCCCTAGGTAACTCCAGATACAGGCTGAATGTCCTTAGGTAACTCCAGATACAGGCTTGCTATAGTCTGAGATTGCTCTGATGTCTGAGACCTTTTAAAGGAATTACTGGGGCTGTCTGCCATGGCAAGTGTTCAGCAAGTCCAATAAATGATGTTACTATTTTCAAATGAAGCTGATTTTCTGAGAAGTTTAATGATTTAAGAACAACCAAAAATAAAATGAATTAAACCCATACATACAAACATATTATTATGAATCATTTGCCTGAGGCATTGTACAGAGACAATAGTTAACCTTCACATGTCAGACATCATAAACCTTATTGTCATTCGTTAACATCATTTCAATGACAGAGTTTCTAGTCTTGGAAATTTAAGTTAAAAAGTGGTAAGGGTTCTTTTCATTTATGTTGGTAAGGGCTTCTGCAAATTTAATAAACTAATGGCTAGAAAAACATTGTGTGATGCAGTATTTAATACACATTTAAAATGGAAAATACGGGACACAGCTTTAAGTTTTGTTTTAATTAGTTATTCATATTGTACTTTTTCAGTTCCTTCTTGTACATTAGACAACAACAAAAAAGGGGGGAAATTCTGATTATTTTTTGGACCATTTTTCTAACCAATGATAAGATTTTTTTGGAACTTTTGTTCACATTTTTTAGGTGGCCACTTTTCCAACCAATGTTGACTTTATGTAGATGACATTTTGTACTTTCACCAATTGATTTCCACATGCTTGTCTGAGCATTAACCCTTAAAAAAACATTAATTTTGATCAGATTTACCTGAAAGGCATATATACATGTATATGTTATTCAAATATCGTGGTAGTATATGTTTGTTGTAACCTAAAGTACAGTTACCTTACACACACGTAAAGAACAAACATCCATTAAACCTTAGAACGACATCAGTTCAAAGGTCAGACATTCAATCAAATATATATTCAGCCTTTACTTGAGGAACACATTTTTTTACTGGATATTCAGAAATTCATGTACTAGTAATTCTAAAGGTATAATTCTATTTTACCAGCCATTTTGTTTTTTATGGCTAATTACTGGATCAAACTTGTTGGAATGATTGCTGTCTGGAAAGTAAAAACTGAAATATGTCAGAATTGCATTCAGACAGAAACTGTTTGTATCTTTTGAAAGGGTTCTGGAATTATAACTGGTTGAAATTGAAGAATGGTTACAAAAAAAGTCCTGAGAAAAAGTTTTAGTAATGATCCTCATTTGTCTGCTACTGCTCAGGGGAAATAAATATATGACATTTATCCAGTAGGAATTGAGAAAAGGGGAGGTAATGATCCTCATTTGTCTGCTACTGCTCAGGGGAAATAAATATACGACATTTATCCAGTAGGAATTGAGAAAAGGGGAGGTAATGATCCTCATTTGTCTGCTACTGCTCAGAAGAAATCAATATACGACATTTATCCAGTAGGAATTAAGAAAAGGGGAGGTAATTACACTCATTTGTCTGCTACTGCTCAGGGGAAATGCATATATTCTACATTTATCCACTAGGAATTAAGAAAAGGGGAGTTAATGACCCTTATTTGTCTGCTACTACCCAGAGGAAGTAATATATGACATTTATCCAGTAGGGAGGTAATGATCCTCATTTGTCTGCTACTGCTCAGAGGAAATAAATATACCAGATTTATCCAGTAGGAATTTATACTTTGGTTGACTGTTAATTATAGGGATGTTTGCCTTATTATTTGATTTACAGGTTGTTATTGGTATGTTGCATTTCTTAATTGATTTGTTGGTTATTATTGGGATTCTGGCTCCATTTCTAACTAAATTTGATAGGTAAAGTTGCTGTTGAATAGAAAGTGTTTTAAAGAGTAACTTGATAAAAACATGCTTCTTATCAAGTTTTTGTCAGATCAGACTAAATAGAAAATTTAACATGTTTATCCTATGCCTTGAATTGGTTAATTTGAAACCATATTTTTTTCAGTTTATATTAATGTTTTCTTTTTTTGGTCTTTTTCAGAAAACCAAGCAGATTCTTTTGAGAAGAAGAACAATCTTTCTGGCATAACCATGACAAAGGAAGAACATAAAGAGGGTAAGGAAGTGAATTGTAACGGAGATAATCCAGTTGCTGTGAATTGTAAGGGAGATAATCCAGCTGCAGTGAATTGTAAGGGAGATAATCAAGTTACAGAAAGAAAGATATCAAATGAAGAGTTGGATGACCTGACCAGTAAAGTAAGTGATATACAGATAGCTGACAAAAAAGAAGTTGTTGGCAGACAAAATACTGTGGAGGAAGATACGAAGAGACCAAGAAACCAGACCTCACTAGATAATGATGAAGAGGTGAAAAAAAGGGAAGGTGCATTAACAGCTAGAGGCCCTAATGGGGGACGTGCAAGTTCATGTGATAATACTGGCTATAATTATTATGCCACACAGCCAGAATATAAATTGGGAAGTAATAACAATAAACGTAGTTTCAGTGACGAGACTGAACCAGCCAAATATTACAAACCTGTTGTTGACTACTTCCCATCACAGTCTCATGTCAACGTAAAGCAACTTGGTGGTGGTACCGTTACATTGAAAACCCCACCAATCCAACATCAGAACGAGCCTCCATATACATTTGACAGTATTCCCGAGGGTGGAGATTTAATTGATGCTCTTTTGGCAGAGCAAGGACAAAGCCAGTTGCAAAACATAAGGGCCGATTTCTCAACAAGTAATATACCAGTTAATATGGAACCTACAAACATTTTCCCTCCAAAACATGTGAAAGAAGAGAATGTGATTATTGATGAGAATAGCAGTAGTCCATACACTAACGGTGGTCCACCATCTAATCAGAGTGACAGTGGAATTAGTGGCATGAGTTACGGGAGTCCATATCAGAATCTAAGTTCTCCCCAGTCTAATGCTTCCCCACCACATGTACCAGAGATGGGATACCCACCGGTGATGAATGCTCCACAATATTCAGATGTATTAGACCTCATGGATCCTATAGCAGGAAGGGAAGAAGACTTCCAAGATGTTCAAAAAATGATAGCTGCTGATTTGTTAAGAGAAAATAAACCTCCTGGCCGAGTAAGGGAACAGATAAGACCTGAGATACCCCACAACCATATGATGGCTAATCAGATGAACTTAATAAATATCAAACCTCAGCCACAACATTTCCAGATGAATACACAACATTGTCCAATCAGTACACATAACACAATGCAGCAACAGGCAACAATTTTTGGACATGCACCAATGAGTACCAATAACATTATCCTGCCACCTTGTTCTCAGCCATCTGCTGTTGTTCAGCCAATACCAGTTAGTAATCCCGTTATGATGGTACCACCTCAAGGTCCCATCCCCATTGGACCAGTCACACCGTTCACTCAGCCACAGATTATCATCATACAACCCGGACCTATTCAGGCTCAGAGGAGACCAGCATTACGGAACATTGCACCCAAAACAGATAAACAGACAAACAAAAAGCCAGTACAAGGACCTTTGGCAAACAAAGGACAAAAACAGCCCCCAAGACCTGATCCCGTGCCTGTGATGCAGGTCCGACCTACACCATCACAGTTACCAAACAATGCACAACAGAGACCAATAAATAATCAAAATAATGGTGAGTAAAATAATGTATATAACATATTAATCTAAAAATCTTGTCAACAATGACAAAGATAACAGGATTTTTATTTTACCTTTTGAATTACTTCACATTCCAGGGCCTTATATATATTAAAAAATCAAACCAAAAAAGAAACAAGACTTTAAGAAAATGTTTATGTTACATATTTGATAAGATATTGCCTAAAGATTTGTTGGTTCAGAAAGCAGAATAAACGGAAAACATTACCGATATTATTAAAAATCATAACCTCTATTTATATTAAAAATCATAACCTCTATTTATATTAAAAATCATAACCTCTATTTATATTAAACATCATAACCTCTATTTATATTAAAAATCATAACCTCTATTTATATTAAAAATCATAACCTCTATTTATATTAAAAATCATAACCTCTATTTATATTAAAAATCATAACCTCTATTTATATTAAAAAAACTTATTTGAATATTTTCAGCTCAGAAAAGAAATTTGTTAAATATAGCTAGAAGAATGGTGGCTGAGATTCCGTCAGAGCAACTACGACATCAGGATGATGAAGGAGACACGTAAGTTCAAAATTACACGAAATGATTATGTCAAACTGAATATTCAAATGTGCTGGTACTTAGAAATCCCTGTAGGTGTGATGCTGAACAGAAGGGATAACAAAAATTGATGTCTACTTCAGGAGAAGGAACAATAAATATACTGATTCTGCAATTTAAAAGCATTTAATTTTTTGATTTACCCTTCAAATTTTGTTCTATGATTGAAAGCATAGTCCTTCTAAATTAATAGGGCATTACATCATATATCATAAGGCTTTCCCTCCTGTTGGAATCTGCCCTGCCAGGGTTATCAAAGATTCTGTTGTCCTCTCTTCCTACCCTATTGAGTGCATATGCAGTTTCTGTTTTCTTCATTGATTGATAAAAAGATGTAACAACTTTTTTTTTTGTATAGATACTTTTGTCTGTAAATAATCAAATGCATACATGTATATTTTCACTTTGGTATAGATTAATTGTTACAGCTTATAGATCTTACACTGCTACTATTTATAGATGTACATTGTTACTATTTATAGATCTTACATTGCTACTATTTATAGATGTACATTGCTACTATTTATAGATGTACATTGCTACTATTTATAGATGTACATTGCTACTATTTATAGATGTACATTGCTACTATTTATAGATATGTTGTTACTATTTATAGATGTACACTGTAACTATTTATAGGTATCTTCATGTAGCAGCATGTAAAAGTGACCCTAACCTAATACAGTCATTATTGGAGAGATTGAACCGTGAACAGATGGACTGGTTGATAGATTTGGAAAACAAGAAACGTATGACACCATTATATCTTGCTGTGTTGGGCAATCAACCAGAAATGGTGGAAATATTCCTAAAAAACAATGCAGACCCAAATGCTCTAGCACAGGTAAATATTTTGCTAAATTCACTAAACATACTCAATAGGGCTGATTAAAATGTTCTTGCTCAAGTACATATTGAGTTCATACACAAGATATACTCCAAAAAGGTGATTCAAATGCTCTAGCTCAAATTCATTATGATTTCATACACAAAATAAACTCAATAGGGCTGATTCAAAAGGTCTTGCTCAAGTAAATATTGAGTTTATACACACAGTATCCTCCCAAGTGCTGCTCATATGCTTTTGTTTATGTACATATTGAGTTTATACACACAGTATCCTCCCGAGTGCTGCTCATATGCTCTTGTTTATGTACATATTGAGTTTATACACACAGTATCCTCCCCAGTCCTGCTCACATGCTTTTGTTTTTGTACATATTGAGTTTATACACACACAATCCTCCCGAGTGCTGCTCATATGCTCTTGTTTATGTACATATTGAGTTTATACACACAGTGTCCTCCTGAGTGCTGCTCATATGCTCTTGTTTATGTACATATTGAGTTTATACACACAGTATTCTCCCGAGTGCTGCTCATATGCTCTTGTTTATGTACATATTGAGTTTATACACACAGTATCCTCCCGAGTGCTGCTCATATGCTCTTGTTTATGTACATCATTAATACAATACACACAAAAATATACTTCAGATACATGCTGACTGAATTCCTGGCATAAAAATGTATAAATATATACACAAATATACTCAGACATTATATATGCGAGTACTTACAATGTAAATGAAGAGTGATTAAAAATTATTTTTATTCATTAATATTTTATTTATTTGCAGTCTGCATCATCACCTACAGAAGGAAAATCTTTGGAAGTGAAGGCACCTATACATGTGGCATCTGCTGGTGGTGATGAAAGTTTACCTACTCTCAAAAAACTACTCAGTGTAAAAGACATCTCACTTAACATCTACAACTCAGAAGGTAAATATTTACTACACTCCTTCCACTCTTTAACATAAGTAATGGGTGAAATATTACCTAATGTTTCTCTATGTCCGTAGCTTTTATGGTGAATAATAATCTACACATTACACACACCAATTATCTGTGGTATTTAAATGTCTACACATCTACACAATGTAATTTAATTCTATATCTTATTTTAGGCCATACAGCATTACACACAGCTATTATTGCTCATGGCACAAAAAGACAGAATGGAAGTTACATTAACAGTTTAAACACTATCGAAGCTCTGATTAAAGCTGGTGCTGATCCTAATTCACAGGTAAGCATATCTTATATGTGTTATGGAGTGATACTAATTCACAGGTAAGCATATCTTATATGTGTTGTGGAGTGATCCTAATTCACAAGTAAGCATGTCTTATATATGTTATGGAGTTGGAGCTTCCAAGTACAACATAAACCAATTGTACTTAGCAGTTAAAACTCAATACATCTTGTGAAATTTATGGATTATTCTCAAGTAATTAGCACTTAAATATCACAATCATCCTTTCTGAGAGTTGAACCCACGACCTCTATGTTTACAGTCAGCATCTGACCAACTGAACTGGAGAAAAATTAACAAAATGAAGGTCTGCTTATATTTGTAAAAGGAGCGTCTTCTTAAAAAATCTTGGATATCAATATTGTTATTCATGTGGTATTATTTTGCATGGTTTTCCTTGGTAACCGATATACATAAACCATGAATTTAAGATGACAAATGATAGAATTTGTCAATTTGTCAAATTGGTACCCAGAAGAGTACACAGTACATGTAATATTTAGGTTCTGTTTTGTGACCTGTAAAGAACAGTTTAATCATTTGTTTATTATTTACAGGACAAGAAAAGTGGTAAAACCCCTTTAATGTATGCAATAGAGAAAAGAGACTGTATTCTTATTGAAAAAATGTTAAGACTCTTCGATCCAAAGAAGTTACGCAATGTCATCAAATCATCAACATTCGATGGAAGTAATTGTCTTAAAATAGCGGAAGGACGTAAATCTGAATTCAACCCTCAAGAATGGCAGAGATTATGGGACTTGTTAAACAAAGCTTGTACAGGAGAATTACCGCGGACAGTAATGTTAGGTTATTGAGTGATCTCTCATCTCATGGCCATAGTCGCAAGTTGTGGCTAGGTGTAATTAATGATGTCTTGTTTAACGTAAAGTTTCTATAAGAGATATTGGCAGACATTGTTGCAGGAATCTCTCACTAAACACGTTAATTCGGATGTCGAACACTTAGTGCATATTGGAGAATTAACATAGAGTGATATTGACCTTTAATGGAACATCTCATTCATATCAACGTTTTAAAAGTCTCCAAGTTACGAACAATTCAGAACTTTGCCTCATTTATATAACATGTAATTAGGAAGTGCCCATTTAAACAACATGTAAAATTTTATGAAGGAAAGGTGTCTTTTAGTACTTGTGCTTTGATCATGTAAGACGATGGCAGCAGTTCTAATTGTGATTAGTTGACCTTGACATTGTAAATTGTTGTATTAGTTATTAATGTTACCGTCCCTTGTTTAGTTTATTGTTGGGTTATTGGATTAAAGTTGACAGTGTTATATTCAAATCAAAAGACAGAGACATACAGACAGAAAGTTATCACATGGTGTATATATATTGTGGATTAATTATTTAATTGTGGGGGGTGGGGGCTCTATATAGAATCTACAGTCATACATGTGTATATCAAAAACAAAATCATATACAAATTAAATATAACAAAATAAGAAGTTGGCATAATATCTTTAATTATCGTTTTTATTTGCCAAAGATGTAAAAGACTCTGACAAGTATATAAGAAATATTGATATGTGGTGCTGGTTGGAAATTTTGTTTTCCCGTAAATCTGTTTATTTATCTACCATATCTACTAAATGACTGTGAGAGGAACTTAGTAACAAAAACTTGACTGTACATAAACAAATATTTTAATGTTTTAAGCATGTTTCTCATGTACTGCAAGTAGCTAGTGCCATTATTTTAGATTTTTTATGTTTCAAAATTATCTTTATGAATATGCTGTGATCATATGAAATTTTTTAAAGTGTTTTGTTATTTATTGTTAGTTGTTATTTATTGAATTATTTTAAAGTTTTCTTTATATTTTTTTTTATCAGACTTATTGTTCTAAATTTACCTATATTTTTGTTTGTTTTTTGACATTTTCATGGGTGTTGCTTAGTGATTAACAACTAATATTAAGTTTTCTTATTTGACAAATTTCAGAAAAAAATACTGCCCATATAGATAAATTTCAGTGTTAGTCTGTTTTATATTTTAAATTACAAATATTCCTGACTGATCATTCAACACATGTTGATAAAGTGTATGATGGCAAATTAAATCATATTGTCCATACCAAAACATTCCTTAAATTTTACTTCAGGTATCAAAAATGTGTTTGAAAAACTTCATGGCCATCTTCTATTCTTCTTGTATGTTGTTGAAGCACTTTAGGAAAAAAAATAAATTTCAAGTGTCGCTTATTTCCAAAGAATCCCTTAGCAAGTTAGTAATTAATTAAATTGCCAATTTATCAATGACTTCTGCTGTCCTTTAGGATTTGCACATAAAAATATCACACTTTCAAGTCTTTAATGGAAAAACAAGGAATTAATTGAATCTGGAATAATTTTGAATTCTGGAAAATTGATTAGAAATGTATGATGAAAACTAACCCAACTAAATGGGGTTAGCCATGCATGCATGGCTAAGGTTAATTTTACTTTCACTATCATTTCAGTATGAACTAACTAACACCCCTTAGCCATGCGCGCATGGCTAACCCTATTTAGTTGGGTTAGTTTTCATCATAAATTTCTGATCAATTTTCCAGAATTCAAAATTATTCCAGATTCAAATAATTCGTTGTTGAAATGTGTTTTACTTTATAAACATGGCTAGATTGATAGGATACCTATCACATGTCTTCAGGAGTGGTCAGAATCAACAAATAGGAAAGCCAAAACAATATATCCTATCACATGCCTTCTTCTTCAGGAGTGGTCAGAATCAACAAATAGGAAAGCCAAAACAATATATCCTATCACATGCCTTCTTCTTCAGGAGTGGTCAGAATCAACAAATAGGAAAGCCAAAACAATATATCCTATCACATGCCTTCTTCTTCAGGAGTGGTCAGAATCAACAAATAGGAAAGCCAAAACAATATATCCTAACTAAATGGACTTAATTAGTTATCAAAGGTACCAGGATTATAATTTAATATGCCAGACGCGCGTAAAATAAGAGGAAAATTTTTTATGAAACTTTAGTAAATCTTACAATTTTTTTAAAGATGAATACAATAACCCACTGGGGGTAAACAGTCGACATACAATAACCCACTGGGGGTAAACAGTCGACATACAATAACCCAATGGGGATAACCAGTCCAGCAGTAGTTCTCACTTTGTTACATTTTTATGATACATTGTATTTAGTTCATGTATAAAATAATTATGTATTATTAATCATTGTTAATGTCATGAATGTGTAAAAACTGATTTAAAATAAAAAATACTTTTTAAATACGTTTTTGTTATGTGACCCATACAAATGTATCCCCCCATCCTATTGAATATATGTTCTACCTAAGCTCTACCTATTGTTCATAATAGATAGACAGAAACTTTAAAAAGCAAAAATGATCAGCAAGACAAAATCTGCAAATAAGTCAAACATGACCAAAATTGGTAGATGACTCCTTATTAGAGTTATTGCCCTTTAATGACAATTTTTACAATTTTTTTGTGTTATCGCCTTATATCTTAAAAACTATAATAGATAGATTCAGCACAACAGGATCTACAAGTACGTCATCATGGCCGAAATCTTCAGTCAACGCCCTATTAGAGTTATTACCCTTTAATGATGATTTTTGTCGAGCCTTCGACTTTAGTCGAAAAAGCAAGACATAGCGATCCTACATTCCGTCGGCATCGTCCACAAATATTCACTCTGTGGTTAAAGTTTTTGAAATTTTAATAACTTTCTTAAACTATCCTTGATTTCTACCTAACTTGGACAGAAGCTTATTCATGATCATAAGATAGTATCCAGAAGTAAATTTTGTAAAAATAAAATTCCATTTTTTCCAGATTTTACTTATAAATGGACTTAGTTTTTCTATCGGGAAATATTACATTCACTCTGTGGTTAAAGTTTTAAAAATTTAATAACTTTCTTAAACTATCCTGGGTTTGTACCAAACTTGGACAGAAGCTTGTTTATGATCAAAAGCTAGTATCTAGAAGGAAATTTTGTAAAAAAATAAATCCATTTTTTCCATATTTTACTTTTAAATGGACTTAGATTTTCTGCAAGGAAACAACATATTCATTCTGTGGTTAAAGTTTTTAAAATTTTAAGAACTTTCTTATACTATTTTGGATTTGTACCGAACTTGGACAGAAGCTTGTTTATGATCAAATGCTAGTATCTAGAAGGAAATTCTGTTTTCTTTCAGTTAACATTACATTCAGTCTGCAGTTAAAGTTTTTAAACATTTATTAGATTCATAAACTATCCTGGATTTTTACCAAACTTGGACAGAAGCTTCTTACAATCAAAAGATAGTATCAAGAGGAATATTTTTATTGATTTACTTCCTCTTTTTTGTTGAGCCTGCGATTAACAGAAAAAGTAGGCGAGACACTGGGTTCCGCGGAACCCTTACGAATTTTTAACCAATTTATTTCATTTTTGCCTAGTATCTTAAAAACTATGATAGATAGATAGAAAGTTTAAAAAGCAAAAATGATCCGTAAGGCAAGATCTAGTTATAAGTCAACATAACCAAAATCATAAGTCTACTCTTTATTGAAGTTATTGCCCTTTAATGATTATTTTTGTCGAGCCTGCGACATTTGTCGCAGAAAGCTCGACATAGGAATAGTGATCCGGTGGCGGCGGCGTTAGCTAACTTCTTAAAAGCTTTATATTTTAGAAGGTGGAAGGTCTGGATGCTTCATACTTTGTATATGGATGCCTCATGTTACGAAGTTTCCATCAGTCACATGTCCAATGTCCTTGACCTCATTTTCATGGTTCAGTGACTACTTGAAAAAAAAGTTAAGATTTTTATACGACCGCAAAAATTAAAAATTTTTTGGTCGTATATTGGTATGACGTTGGCGTCGTCGTCGTCGTCGTCGTCGTCGTCGTCGTCCGAAGACACATTGGTTTTCGCACTCTAACTTTAGTTTAAGTGAATGGATCTCCATGAAATTTCACCATAAGGTTCAATACCACGAAAGGAAGGTTGGGATTGATTTTGGGGGTTATGGTACCAACAGTTAAGGAATTAGGGGCCAAAAAGGGGCCAAAAATAAGCATTTTTGTAACTTTCAGACAATAACTTGTGTGTAAGTGTATGCATCTCTCTGACATTGTACCACAAGGTTCCATATCACAAAGGGAAGGCTGTAATTGATTTTGGGGGTAATTGCCTCAAAATTTTAGGAATTAGGGGCCAAAAAAGGGGCAAAAAACAAGCATTTTTCTAGTTTCATGACAATAACTTGTGTGTAAGTGTTTGGATATTTCTGAAATTGTACTACAAGGTTCCATATCACAAAGGGAAAGCTGGAATTGAGTTTGGGGGTAATTGCCCGAAACGTTTAGGAATTGGGGGCCAAAAAGGGGCCAAAAATAAGCATTTTTCTAGTTTCCAGACAATAACTTGTGTTCAAGTGTATGGATCTCTCTGAAATTGTACTGCAAGGTACCTTACCACAAAGGGAAGGCTGGGATTGAGTTTGGGGGTGATGAATCATAAGGGGGTTCAAAAAATTTGGGGGGGGGATTTTTTTTTTTTTTTTTTTTCTTTTTTTCATTTTTTTTTTCTTTTAAAATTTTCCATTTTAAGTTGGTTATTTCTGATTTATATTTAAAAGCAAATAATAATGATATGGTAGGAGATACACACCAAACAGGATGTGTAAATTATTATATAATAAGTATTGTGCAATAGCAAGAAATTTTCAATTGCACAGTATTGCACAATAGCAAGAAATCTTCAATTGCACAGTATTGCGCAATAGCAAGAAATCTTCAATTTAACAGTATTGCGCAATAGCAAGAAATATCCAATAGCACAATATTGCGCAATAGCAAGAAATTGTCAATTGTACAGTATTGCGCAATAGCAAGAAATATTCAATTGCACAGTATTGTGCAAAAGAAGATACTTCATATAAATTGCTTATTTCTTGATCAATTTCAATGGGGTTTTATTCTTGAATTCTTGGGGTTCTTTAATATGCTGAATCTAACCGTGTATTAAGTTTTTGGATTTTGGGCCTTGTTTTTAAATTGGTCCACATTGAGGTCCAAAGGGTCCAAAATTAAACTTTGTTTGATTTCATTAAAAATTGAATTATTGGGGTTCTTTGATATGCCGAATCTAACCGTGTATTTAGATTTTTAATTTTGGGTCCCGTTTTTTAAATTTGTCTACATTAAGGTCCAAAGGGTCCAAAATTAAACTTAGTTTGATTTTAACAAAAATTGAATTCTTAGGGTTCTTTGATATGCTGAATCTAAACATGTGTTTAGATTTTTGATTATGGGCCCAGTTTTCAAGTTGGTCCAAGTTGGGGTCCAAAATTAAACTTTGTTTGATTTCAACAAAAATTGAATATATGGGGTTCTTTGATATGCTGAATCTAAACATGTATTTAGATTTTAGATTTTTGGCCCAGTTTTCAAGTTGGTCCAAATTGGGGTCCAAAATTAAACTTTGTTTGATTTCAACAAAAATTGAATATATGGGGTTCTTTGATATGCTGAATCTGACCATGTATTTAGATTTTTTATTTGTGGGCCCGCTATCAAATTGGTTCATATTGAGGTCAAAAGGGTCCAAAATTAAACTTTGTTTGATTTCATCAAAAATTGAATTATTGGGGTTCTTTGATATGCCAAATCTAACCGTGTATTTAGATTTTTAATTTTGGGTCCTGTTTTTTAAATTGGTCTACATTAAGGTCCAAAGGGTCCAAAATTAAACTTAGTTTGATTTTAACAAAAATTGAATTTTTGGGGTTCTTTGATATGCTGAATCTAAACATTTGTTTAGATTTTTGATTATGGGACCAGTTTTCAAGTTGGTCCAAGTTGGGGTCCAAAATTAAACTTTGTTTGATTTCAACAAAAATTGAATATATGGGGTTCTTTGATATGCTGAATCTAAACATGTATTTAGATTTTAGATTTTTGGCCCAGTTTTCAAGATGGTCCAAATTGGGGTCCAAAATTAAACTTTGTTTGATTTCAACAAAAATTGAATATATGGGGTTCTTTGATATGCTGAATCTTACCATGTATTTAGATTTTTTATTTGTGGGCCCGCTATCAAATTGGTTGATATTGAGGTCAAAAGGGTCCAAAATTAAACTTTGTTTGATTTCATCAAAAATTGAATTATTGGGGATCTTTGATATGCCAAATCTAACTGTGTTTTTCGATTTTTAATTTAGGGTCCCGTTTTTTAAATTTGTCTACATTAAGGTCCAAAGGGTCCAAAATTAAACTTAGTTTGATTTTAACAAAAATTGAATTCTTAGGGTACTTTGATATGCTGAATCTAAACATGTGTTTAGATTTTTGATTATGGGACCAGTTTTCAAGTTTGTCCAAGTTGGGCTCCAAAATTAAACTTTGTTTGATTTCAACAAAAATTGAATATATGGGGTTCTTTGATATGCTGAATCTAACCATGTATTTTGATTTTGGACATTGGACCATAATAGGTAAATTAAAAAAATTGAAGTTCTTAGACCACATTCTTTCTGTGTCAGAAACCTATGCTGTGTCAAATATTTAATCACAATCCAAATTCAGAGCTGTATCAAGCTTGAATGTTGTGTCCATACTTGCCCCAACTGTTCAGGGTTCGACCTCTGCGGTCGTATCAAGCTGCGCCCAGCGAAGCATTTTATTTGTAATGTTAAATTCGCTCTTATTATAAGTAATAGGATAACTATATTTGGTATGTGCGTACCTTGCAAGGTCCCCATACCCGTCAGACAGTTTTCACTTGACCTCGACCTCATTTCATGGATTAGTGAACAAGGTTAAGTTTTGGTGGTCAAGTCCATATCTCAGATACTATAAGCAATAGGTCTAGTATATTCAGTGTATGGAAGGACTGTAAGGTGTACATGTCCAACTGGCAGGTGTCATCTGACCTTGACCTCATTTTCATGGTTCAGTGGTTATAGTTAAGTTTTTGTGTTTTGGTCTGTTTTTCTTATACTGTATGCAATAGGTCTACTATATTTGGTGTATGGAATGATTGTAAGGTGTACATGTCTAGCTGGCAGGTGTCATCTGACCTTGACCTCATTTTCATGGTTCAGTGGTCAAAGTTCAGTTTTTGAGTTTTGGTCTTTTTTTCTAATACTATATGCAATAGTTCAACTATATTTGGTGTATGGAAATATTTTATGATCTATTTGTCAGTCACGCAGGTTTTATTTGACCTTGACCTCATTTTCAAGGTTCATTGCTCAGTGTTAATTTTTTATACGACCGCAAAAAAATTTTTGTGGTCGTATATTGGTATGACGTTGGCGTCGTCGTCGTCCGGCGTCGTCGTCGTCGTCCGGCGTCGTCCGGCGTCGTCCGAAGACACATTGGTTTTCGCACTCTAACTTTAGTTTAAGTGTATGGATCTTTATGAAATTTTACCACAAGGTTCAATACCACAAAAGGAAGGTTGGGATTGATTTTGGGGGTTATGGTAATAACAGTAAAGGAATTAGGGGCCAAAAAGGGGCCAAAAATAAGCATTTTTGTAACTTCCAGACATAACTTGTGTGTTAGTGTATGGATCTCTCTGACATTGTACCACAAGGTTCCATATCACTAAAGGAATGCTGGGATTGATTTTGGGGGTAATTGCCTCAAAATTTTAGGAATTAGGGGCCAAAAAAGGGGCAAAAAACAAGCATTTTTCTAGTTTCATGACAATAACTTGTGTGTAAGTGTATGGATCTTTCTGAAATTGTACTACAAGGTTCCATATCACAAAGGGAAAGCTGGGTTTGAGTTTGGGGGTAATTGCCCTAAACGTTTAGGAATTTGGGGCCAAAAAGGGGCCAAAAAACACATTTTTTTCTAGTTTCCAGACAATAACTTGTGTTCAAGTGTATGGATCTCTCTGAAATTGTACTGCAAGGTACTATAACCAAGGCCAGTACTATGCTTGTTCCTGACCTGGTTACTCATCTTGCTAGGTTGGGGGAACTAGCAGGTAGCTTTCATTTGAATACATGTCAACGTAACACAGATTCAAGTTCTATATATAATGTTTATTAATCAGCATTCAGTATAGTTATCAATCACAATAATCACATCATAAGTTCATGAGACATATTAAAACAGCATGTCTAATATCAATTCAATACAACTGTCTAAATCCAAGTCTAAAACACAAGTGTCAAATACAACTGTCCCAAACTACATGGTCAACCAACATATATTGTTTTTCATTATTCAATTTACATAACATTAATACTCAATATATTTACTTTACATAATAATGCTAGTTTATCTATTTTCCCAAATATCAAGTCTTTGTGACATAACCTAAATTATCTTAAAAAGTAAGAAATCCCTTTTGTATATATAACACTTCTCTAATCCTTAATTCTCTATTGTCATTTAACCCTCAGGGGATTACATAATAATTTGCTTTACACTTATCTAAAATTGTGAAGATTTATATTAATTATTTATCAAGTAAATTATTTCTTAAACTAGTGCTAAATATCTTAACTAATACTGAATTATAACAAATCTTTGAATTCTACATTTTGACATTCTTGCATCTAAAATATACTGGTTATACCCTTCCCTTCGTCGCCAAGATTGCTCCTGCAATCTTCAATTAAAATACAAATGCATCATTAAAAAAAAAATAATAATATTTTACACATATTATATAGCAACAATTTAACACCAGTTCTCCCTAAGGATCAAACTCATGAAGACATGAATGTTCACAGATTTTTAAAAAAATTTGTAGGGACACTTCATCTCGCAATAGTAATTCAAAAATGTGTTCAGATCTGAAAGAGTTGCTATGGTTGCTATGGAAACAGCATGTCATATTTCTAATAATGTAATTTAGACTAAAAAATCAGTTTCTTGATAAAAGATACAAATTGCAAAGACATTGTTCAATTAAATGAATATGCACTAAATAAATAATATTGAAATGGTCATATGAAAATATTTATTTGTCTTCATTTACCTTGGAGGTCCGATTGATAGTATGAGAGCTCATTGTATAGGACCCTTCGATGTTTTTCTTAAAAAACTTAGGAATTTTCACAGGAAAAATATATTAATTGCACCAAACATCATTAACTGTAGTATAGATATTTTAAAATAAGCAACCAAAGACAATCAATTAAGAAAAAAAAATTGGTGGGGTAAACATTATTTTTTTACAATAACCATTGAAATCTTTCAATTAAGCATCATTTTTGTCAGAGAGTTACTTCCCTTTTATTGCCTCTTCTAATAAGAAGCAAAAACAATCCATAGCCATAACAACATAACAGACGACACAAGATGGTAATATGCATGCACCTAGTTTAGAAATAATCAGATACGAGTGAGATGAATTGTAGTTTCAGTTTTTTTGACACATCTGTGTGTTGTAGTAGTTCTTTTGAAAGCCTCTGTGACATAGATAGGGAAACATCAGACATATTATTGTCAGAAGTTGGTCTGCTTTTCTGTCAAAGAACAAGAAACTTTTCAGTTTGCAATGTTCATTTGGAGAAAATGTTGGTTAAAAACCGGTCTAAGAATAAATCTGTTCGATGTGCTATTCCTACACTGCTTTCACACCATAAGAAGACAATTCCAAGGGCGGAGAGAAACATAACAAAGGATGCAATGATGAAGATCCACAGCAGTACTGGTATTGTACTGGCTATTGGAACCCGTAAGTATTATAAAAATTCAACACCAATCAATTTTTGGCTGATCAAAATATTCAAATAATAATATATATGGATGATCTGCATTTTAAATAAATATTTCTGACCCCATTTCATCTTGCAACGCCAACAGATCTTGAAGAATCACCAAAATTATTTTCGGAAATTATGAATGAACCGACAGTGATACTAACACTTATTAAGATACTAGATGATAAATTGTAAAACAGTACTTAAGGCTTCAGCGTATTGATTAACACACCTGACAATACTTCCACAAACATAGATATAACATTTTTTAGAACAAATTACCTCCCTTTAAAAAATTGTTAGGCTAACAAAAGTTGTTGCTGCCTCCCTTAAATTTTGTTATATAAAAATATTCTGACTTTTAACTGACATAAAATATATTGAGCAAACTTCAAACCATTGCATTTGATAAAAAAAATTATTTTTAAAGAAAATTTTGCTAGAATATTATTCTAGCATGCAAATATAATTTACCTTAAAATAGTTTCAGATAAAAAGTATATTATAGTTAAACTTCCATAGATGAGATTATGTGCAATTCTTATAAAAAATTATCTGCATCACAAAACAGTGAGTTGATGAGTTTCACTGATAGACAATGTAATTGCTAACTTTACCATAGCATTTGGCAAAGCCATCAAGCAATTAGTCTATCTTCTGTATTATATAATGAATAAATCCTTGTAGAGTTAGTATAATTGCACTCAACTATTAACTGAAACACAAAAAGCTTAATTAAATTTATTTGTTGCGCCTCATGACATACTGTTACTTTTGGGCTAATCCCCCCCGCCCCCTATATTTTATGGAAATTTTTGATAAAAATGTGTAAAGTCCAGATATTCTTTGGTAAATCACCGTTAAGGAAGCAAATTCCCTTATTAAATAACTTTAAATCATTAACATACTAAGTGCTTTTACTTTTTGATTTTTTATAGCAATTTTATGTATGTGCATATAATATTTTGAACTTTAATACAATAAGAAGCAACAATTTATCAAGTCAACTTTCAACACTGCTGAGTTTTATTGCTTATATTTATTAACTTTCAATAAAATGTATCAGAATATATTATATATGTTTCTTAAATTATTGAGTGTAACATGTTTTTTTTTTTTTTTTACAAACAGCTATCTGTTCAAACTGCAGAAAACACTTATCATCAGGCAAACCAGATGAACATGTTGAAGTTTCAGTGCCAAATGAGCAAATCCCTGTAGAGCCATTGTTAGAGGTATTTTGTATATTATTATTATAGTATATTATATATATTGATAAATAATTTTTGATTTAATATAATTGCATTTTATGCTATTAAAACAATTAGAAAACCTTCTGATTAAGTATTATTATTAGACCAAAACATATAGTAAAAAATATGGATGAGCTTTAAAAATACTTAATAATGTTATCAATATTTTATACCAGACATAATGACATAAACTCAGTATTTGGTTGTATCAGTTTCGCTTTTGATATTTATTTACTCAATAATCTTGATATTTGAATTCATCTGGAACTTGAAAGAATTAGTGAATGAATTGATGTAGATATTCAAAGAGACAATCATACCACATCTTCTTATTAATATATATATATATTTCTTAAAGTATCTTTGCTTCAAAATATTACAGTAACAGTACAATAGAATTGTGATAGAATTGCAAATGAGAAAACTCACCACTTCAAACCAAATGTCTGATAAGAACATTATATTTAGTAAAGGTTATACTATAAGGCTTTCAACACAGAGCAAAATATTACATACAAGAAAAATAGACAGATTTAAATAAAACATATATATATATATACATATATATGTAAATGTTTTATGTTTGGCTGATTTTACTCTATACCATTAAACTAGTTAAGGTGGCTGGGGCGTCTTAATTAAAATCCATAGAATATTTTAATAATTTGTCAAAATGAAGTTTTCATCATGCCTTTTTCAAAAATATAATAAAAAGTATAGGTCACTGGACTTTTTTTCACGCTACAGGTTGTGCATAATTGTCAGATTTTGTATAGATTATGCATGGAAAATCCAATTTTGTGTGATAAAAAGAAAACTACACCATAGAATTTTAAGATAAAATGTGAGAAGATAGCTCTTATAACATGCTTTCAGATAAGAAAAAGAAAAAATGGGGTTACCGAACTTGTTTTCTTGCTGCATATTAAAATAGGTAAATTCACAACACTTTCTATTATAAAACTACTTTATCTGAGTTATCTCCCTACTATCTGAGTTATCTCCCCTTATTTGGCAAAGTTGAAAAAAAAATGAATCAAACACAAATATGGTGTTTTTTTTTAGAAATTATACAGCCCGTAAATATGATAAAACACATAATTTTCTATATTTACATTAAAAGTCTTACACATGAATTACATACTACTCTCAAAATTTGCACATTTCATTAAAGATCTAGACCAATTGTTATCTGCTTCTTCAAAATCCAAGATGGAGGAAAACACCTGAGCTACCTTAATGTAAAAATCAATAGCATTAAACATAAATAATAATGAAAACTGAAAAAATGAATATAGCACAGACCTTCTAGAAACCCAAGGCAAAAAGGTTCCTTGTCACGTGCAGCCAAGTCAAGTTTTTCATGAACAATACCAATAGCAAAACAAATATGTGAATAAAATTTTGAGTACAAATATGTAGAGTTTTTAGTTCAATTATGTTAATGAAGCTCTCATTTCATTATCACTGTTATATGTAATTTTATCTTTTCAGATTGACTATGACAACAATTTAGCTTTAAACATTAATAGAGAAAAAAGAGAAGACAAATGTTATAGTTCAGATTCATGTAAAAAACTTTTGAATGATCACCAAAAGGTACTTTTCATTTTAACATTATTACAGATTATCTAATCTTTAACATTAACAAATAAATTTTAAAATATTGAATGGAAGTGTATTGGATTAACACAATAAGATGAAGTTATATCAATGATACTACATAACCATTACAGAGAAGAAAAAAAATAAACAGACACATATATATACAATATTCATTTAAGATTTTATGATTGTCAGTCTATTCATATTATAAGTTTCCAGAAGTTTTCTCTTGCATAAAATTGAGAATGGAAATGGGGAATATGTCAAAGAGACAACAACCCGACGTAAGAGCAGACAACAGCCGAAGGCGACCAATGGGTCTTCAATGCAGCAAGAAAATCCTGCACCCGAAGGTGGTCCTCAGCTGGCCCCTAAATAAAATTGTGTACTAGTATATAAAACATATAAATGAACTAAAATTAAAAAGCATACAAGACTAACAAAGGCCAGAGGCTCCTGACTTGGGACAGGCGCAAAAAAATGCGGCGGGGTTAAACATGTTTTGTGAGATCTCAACCCTCCCATAAACCTCTAGCCAATGTAGAATAAAGAAACACATAGCAATACGCACAGTAAAACTCAGTTTAAAAGAAGTCCAAGTATATATACTTTTAAAGCTAGAATATTAAAATAAATGAAATGTAATTTTTAGACCACTAGCAATGGCAGTCATTAAATTAATAGAATTTCGATTTTGTGAATATATTTCATGTGTCTTTAATTATTATGAACATTATCAATCTAGACTGATTGTTATGTCCTGCCTATGATAGTAGAGGCTGTCATTATGTTTTTTTGGTCTGTGCTTCAGTCTGTCTGTTCATTCGTTTGTTCATCTGTCTGTTTGTTTGTTTGTCCTTCTGTCTGTCTGTCCATCCAGATTCAGTTTTAATGACATTGAATTTTCAAGATTTTGAAGCTTAGTACATATGTTCCTAATGATGTGTTCTTCCTTATATGTATGCCAAATAAGGGTTTTGACCCAAATGTTTTGGCTCCCTTATCATGAAAATAAAAAATGAAATTGCAAAAAGGCATCAGTGTACTGTGGACATATTTTTCTTGTTATATGGCATTTGCAAAAGTGTTTCAAGGTGAGTTATCTGTTGAGTTTTTTATGTATGATTAGACAACCAATCCAGAATATATATAACTTAAAGCATATTTTTCTTAGGAAACAACAACAGATGGTAATAGTCAAACAGAGAGTGAAAGTATGTGCTTTGAGACAGGTGACAGTCAATATTCAGAGGCATCAGTTTGTATGATGGACAAATTACAGAGGCTGAATTCCTTCCTGGCAACATCAGATGTATCACCTGTGAAGGAAAAATTGATTCCATTATTAGAATCTACACATAAAACCAAGCAGAGATGCGTGTCAAAAGCACTGCAGTGTATGTCAGTAATATGTGAAACCATCTGCCCTGGAGAGGGAGACACTTTGAAAGATTTGATGTTTAAGTCTGTATTTTCGGCACATAAACCTGAAAAGTCCTCTACACTTGATGAAGCAGCACTAATACTAAAGGACACATATAATTCTGCAGAAACATGGACATTAAGAAGACAAATTCTATCAGTCTTATCCAGAAATTACAGCTTTGATGAGGTCAGAGAGGTATGCTGCATCTTTTTTGCAAGTAATTTATGTCATTTAAAGCCAAAATATTTATTACATGGAATTTATTTTAATATATAGCATTAGAATGGAGATAAATGTATTGTATTTTAAGCTAAGCCTTCGTAAAACTTAATTTTACTGTCGCAAATATCCGTTTACCTAGCTCCTCTACACGTTGCTAGGCAAACTCAATTTGCAACAGTAAAATCTACATTTTACGAAGGCCAAGCTTAGGATACAATACAGTTAAGCCTCTAGCCTTTGTTGGTCTTGTGTTATTTTTGGTTTTGGTTTCTTGTGTGCAGTTTGGAGTTTGGTGTGGCGTTCATTGTCACTGAACTGGTGTATATATTTGTTTGGGGGCCGGCTGGGGGGCGCCTCCGGGTGCGGGAGTTTCTCGCTGCGTTGAAGACCTGTTGGTGACCTTCTGCTGTTGTCTGTTCTATGGTCGGGTTGTTGTCTCTTTGACACATTCCCCATTTCCATTCTCAATTTTAATAGTTATCACCAAATTTTTCAGATATTTTTTTATTGATAATATTTTTGTTGCTTTTATATCTATTTAATTTTTATTTTTTTTTTAGATGATACCGGATCTGACAAAGTACAGATTTTATGCTGCCAAACAGCACAGTGATGAAGTAGGTTGTGGCCTCCCAGTGTCCAGAGAAAAACTAACAAGAAACAAGATAGACATAGCAGAGTTGGAACACTTCATAGATTTCATCGTCAGCTCAGATGTTGTAAAAGATCTGCCTTTTGGTATGAAGACTATGAAGCTAACATCTGGAGAAATAGTCAATGTTCCAAATTTGATACGAAGCCTTGCACCGTCATCCCTTGTTAACCAGTACATCCAGTTCTGTGATTCCGAAAATGTTGGTCATTTAGGTAAGATTATCAAGATAAATAAACACTTTTAAACATACAATTTATTTTGATTTGAGCGTCACTGATGAGTCTTGTACAGATAAAACTCGCATCTGGTGTAGGAAAAATTATAAGCCTGGTACCCTTGATAAGTATTTAACACAGATACAGCTGTTAAATAATTAAAAATAAAGGGCTGAAAAGAAATTGACAGTCATAGAAAAGTAAATTGCATATGCATGTAACTAGTACTCTAGTATTGGTGGCTACACGAAACATGGGGAAACCTTGACAGCTAATGTGTGCTGATTTGAAAAAGACATTGCACACATAATATAGATTTTTCACAGAAAATAATGATGTCGCAGTCATTAATATATGATTTTATTCATAATAACATTAAAAAAATTGGTGTGTTATCAAATTGAAATTTATATGTGTATATCAATTAAAAGTGTACATGACTAATTTGTAATTGTAGGAAGAAGTACAATGTATAAGATACTTAATGACTGTGCTGCTTCCGTTAGAAAATGTGTTGAGGGACTTGATTATTACGTTGCAGAGGGTGGAAAGGCATTTCAAGATCTTGAAATAATCATAGAAAAACTTAGTGCATCAAGTGAAAAGAAGAAAGAATTGAAGTCAAAATTGCTGAATGGGAAGAGATACATAAAGTCAGATTTTAAGGTATTTGAAAACACATTGAATGTCTAAATTATGTTATTGGAAACGTTATAATTAAACAAATTGTCTGTGACATTTTAGCTTAAGTGAACTACAGTGTGAGCTAGCTGTAATTGTCACCCCTCACTGTCTATATATTGATACCATAAGGCACATTTGAACCAATGTTGGATGGAATTACTTCTTTGAAAAATAAAAAAATATCCAAGTTCACTTCAACTGGTAGGATTGAAAATAACTAGGACTTTTAACCAATGCATTGTTCAGTTGAGCAATAGAGACTCCTGTTTTCGCTATTGATGATCTATGTGTTTAATAATTTAACCCATATGTTACTCAGTAATTTACATGTGATCTCTTTATTTTTTTGGATGTATCAATGATATAGATACTAAATTAAACATCACAAGATTTATAAATGTCATGTAAAGTTGTGTATTTTTATATAGTTATTGTTGCTTTATGAGACAAATTTTTATTTTTCAAACCAGTAAATGTATTCAGGATAATTTATTATTATCTCAATTCCTAATATGCATTTATTTCATTTATGTTAACTGCTCATCATTTTTCAAATGATGATCTATTTGTATGTTGTGCATGGGACAACAGATTTATGATGATTTTGTTTATCCTTTTTCTTTCTTCAGTTTGTGACAAATCTTTCTAATGGTTTAGATTTTTTTTTATCAAAAGGTACATATCCAAAAAGAGAATGCTGTTCCAGATCATTGCCAAATGTTTGCTCTAAGTGATAGTGAAAAGTGCTTCTCCCAAAGTTGTAACACCCAGCATAAACACAGTTGTGTACAGTGTATTGACCTGGCAGATTTGTTAGCTGAAATAAGTACTCTAACACAGGATGGTACATGGGACAATAAAGATTCCATTGTATTCCAGGTAATTTTTATCAATTAATTTCCACTTCATTGATTAAATGGAGAAGTATACTAAGAAATTTTTATTTGTCTTAGCAAATTATTCAATACTTTGGCCAAAACAAATACATTTTAGTACAAACAATAATTTAAAAACTCCTTTTTCTCCAAATAGCCATCATAAAATGCGGTTACCTCCCTTGATAGACATGAAAAGAATATATGACCAGTGGAATTGCCCTGACATCAATAGTATACATGTATGTAAGGGCTTAGGTTGTTGAATTGTATTAAAAGAGGAAGACTGTGTGTAAATTAAGTATTAACCACTTTTCTTTATACCATAATTAAATTTTCAGGTTGAAAATGCTGTAGAAGCTATAAAAGATTGGAAAAGTCATGCTATGAGAGCTAGGAATCAAGAAGGTGCAAGGCTAGATCTATTAAAGAATTTAAATGAAAATCAAGCACTTATCACATGTGACTGGGCAATGAAATTTCTACCACGCAAATTTAGAGAAGGACAGAGTGACTGGTTTGCCAAACGTGGAATCAACTGGCACATTTCAGTAACTTTGTACAAACAAGGGGAAGAACTAAAGACAATAACACATGTACACATTTTTTCATCCCAGGTAATAAAAAGATATTGCTAGGTTTTTTGTAAAGAACAAATCTATTATTTCAAGTTTTCAGCTTTTGAAAAAGAATTCCTTCAGATATTTTATTAACTTTCAGAAATCTTTTGATAATTGGAAAATATTCATTGCATATAAGTTAGGCTAATAGATATTTAATTTCAATATCAAAACTTTCAAATAAATTTTGTAATCTATTTTAATTTCTGTAAATTCAAAAATTATTGCAAAAATGTGACCGGGTTATTTTATCACAATAATTCATAATAAAAGCAGGCAATTACTTTCTGAATTTACAATAAATTATTTTTGCTGCAATCAGTTATAAACCCTGATTTCCCTTTTCTTTATTTCTGTATCAAAGTTGCATTCTTTTAACTTATTTAAAATACCAAATTTGAACCACTGTACAACACAGATTAAGTTTGATTCAAATGACTTGTTACAAGTAATATAACATTGTCATGATCTATTTTAGATATCTCAAGATGGTTCTGTTACTGCTTCTGTGTTGTGTGATGCAGTCCATGATCTGACAAAACAAGTACCAAACATACAGGAGGTGAACTTCTTCTCAGATAATGCAGGATGCTACAAGAACACAATGATGATGGTAGCCCTTAGAGCTGAACTGGGGGATAAGTTGAAAACGTACAACTTCAGTGAAGCACAGGATGGCAAAGGTAAATTGTCATAGTTTGCAACTCAGTTATTCAAAAGAAAAATCTTTCAAGTCAGCTTTTGATTGAAGGATTTTTGTGTTTTTTGTTGTCCTCAGATGGGAAAAGAATAATCAAAATTTAATTTTTGTAACCTGCAAATCAATTTTGTACTGTCCAAATGGTATACATGTACAATGGCAATTATTCTAAAGCAATTTTAAAGGTCTTGCCCTCTGTTTCTGATATTTGGATCATTGCATTTGTATAGAAAGGCTAGTATGCAGAAAAACTCTTTTTTTTTAGTAGTTTCTCACATACACAATAAATGTATATAAATATTGATATTGCAACCATTGAATTCTATGTAGTGACAGTTTACACATTTTTGCAGGTCCATGTGACCGCAGGGCTTCACATATCAAGGCATATGTTAGAAGATACATTAATGAGGGTCATGATGTCACATCTGCAGAGGAGATGAAACAGGTAAGTCTGAATAAAAGAGTATTTTAAAAAATTTAGTAAATGACAATTTATATGCAAAGCTAAAGAGTAAGAAGTATATCAATTACAAAAAAATATAATGTGTTGTGATTGTATTGTCAATGAGACAACTCTCCACCAGAGATATATAAGCAACTAAAGTCACTGTATGACCTTCAAAATAGAGCTAAAGCCATTAAGGTATTGCATGCTTTAACACGTCTGAAGCTAATATAAAAACATTTTATAAACACCTTAAGAAAACTTACAACCTAATTAATGCACAACACCAAAAAATAGCAAAATAACAATGCATCTGACTAATGGAACAGGCAAAAATAGTATGTAGCAAGGTTTAACATTGCTTGCTAGTGTGAGTTCATCCCTTAACCTGTTACAGCTCGTATACAACACAGCTCATCAAAAGTGTGTACACTACAGTAAAATTCAATTAAAAAGGACATACCTCATCAGAACAACATAATGAACAACAAACAATACACTAAGGACACAAAGTATCATTTGAGAATTGTATGCATTAATTTTAGCCAAGACGGTATGCATAGTTATATGATAAGAGAATTGGTATTCATTTGGCAAACCCAAGAAGTTATGCACAGTTATAAGCATAGCAATTCTATTTTTCATTTCTGTTTTTTTTACAGGCTATAGAGGTTAAACAGAAAGGATCATTCAGGGTTAGAGTCGTTGACATTGTAACTAATTTGGATGCAGAGAAGTCAAAGATAAAACCAATAACTGGAATTACACAATTGCATAATTTTTCATTTGATGTCAATGGAATAACAGTTTGGAAGGCATATGGAATAGGAGAAGGTATTAACCAGAATTATGAATCAGAACTATGAAACTAACAAGTGGAGTTTTAGGTCCCAATAGATATTATCTGCTTGTTTACCATGGTTAACATGGTTAAGGTGTACGTTTAGTTAATTGTACTTTTTCATGCTTAAACACAATAGAGTGGTGAAACTTCATCAGTTTACTGCTTGGACCTCGGTGGCCAGTTGGTCTAGGTTGCTACTGTAATCACTAGCCAGTCATCACTAAGGTTGTGAGTTCATACCCCGACCATACAGGACTGCATTAGACACCGATCTATTGAATAGGATCGTCAGTTTTCCTATCGAAGGTCAGTGGTATTTTCAGGGCACCCCTGCTTCTTCCATCAATTAAACCTGGTCACCCCAAAATAGCCCTAAAGTGGTGCTTAAGAGTGGCGTTAAAATACCAACAATCAAAAATAAATCAAAATCAGTATACTGCTCCTGTATGCATGTCAATTTCTTCAATACCAAAACAACATTAGGTTATGAAACTTATCAGTGTAAGCAATTTGATCTATTTTTTATACTTTTAAAGTAATGTCAACTAAAGTGGTTACTTTGTTTTCATCTTGATAACTATGGAGCAACTGTTCAAATATAAATTGTCTTTCATGCGTGATTTTCACAAATTTTGTCACAGTATTTCTGTAACTGAAGTTTGAACTAGTTCTTGCAATACAATGAGATTGTAACAATTTGACAATAGGAAATTGTGACTAATTAGTATATAATTGTTTGTAGGAAAGCGAATATCATGGGACAACATTGGAACCACAGAGCAAAGAACCAATCTGTTGGTTAAAGTTGATTGGACAATTGCAGCTCCTCAGTTGTTGGAAATAGAAGGTAATGCAAGTTTTAAAAATCACCGGTTATTCAACTTCCAGCTAAATTTAATTTTATTTTTTACAATTCATTTAAACAATTTAAATTAACTCAGTAGCCACAGTAATTAACTGTTAAACATAAGAGTTGCATATTTGGAACATGATTTTTTTGGTTCTTTTAGGTGTAATACCACCAAATCATAGTATGACAGTTGTAGGAAATTTATCCTACATTTCATTGCAGTAAAAAAAATTCTGTGTCATAGACATATATCTTGGGTGTTTCAAAGTACCATTGTTTTTTTATTTGGTGTTTCTATAGAATATTTTGGAAACTTAAGGTTACATGGTTATTAAAGCTTGTACACAGGAAGAATAAGGGTGAAAATTTGATTGGTTAACTTCCAGTGATGGTTATTTTCTTATATGCAATGAAATGTTACATGAATTTTTTTCTATAGTACTGGACATGATACATCACCTGTTTATTGTACTTGTAAAAGAGTTAACTAATAATTAAAAGATAAACACAAATTTAACCTCAAATTCAAGCAAAAAAATGTAATATTGTGGAAGAGTCAGAACAGAAAATGATCCAGACAACAGTGGGCATTTTGCATGCTTATGATTTCTTAATCTGTATATTCTATGGAAGGTTGGACTGAACAGTAAAAGTAAAGGCTACACATTTTGCATGTTTCTCAGTAAGAGAATTACTGCAGTTGACTGTGATTATTTATTTTTAAAAAATTTATCATATTTATACACTAAATAAAATGATAAAATTCTGTTTGAAAATAATAAGTATTTTTTTAATCATTTCAGTTATGGCACAAGAAGAAGAACTTGTTGAACCAATTCCAAAAAAACAAAAGAAGAACTCCATAAATCAGCCATATGATTGCCCAAAAGATGGCTGCACAAGAGCTTTTAAAACTCAATGTGCACTGGAGCAACACATCATTGTTGGTAATTGTGATTATCACAATGAAAAAACAACTCAAGATAAAGCAAAAACAATGTATGGACAAAAGGTTAACTCTTTGTTTGACGGAACAAGGGTTCAACTTGATTGCAACTTAAGTGACTGCCGTACTTCAGAATCGGGAAGAGGATGGGCACTGAAGAGTAAAAAGAAAAGAACTGTTTTTAGTCAATCCCAAGTGAACTACATGAAGGAAAAATTTGATATTGGGAAGGTATCGGGTAGAAAAGTGGATCCATTTCAAGCAGCTGATGAGATGAGACAGTTGCAAGAGGAGGGGAAATATGTATTTTCCAGGAAAGATTATTTAACTGGGCAGCAGATAACAGCCTATTTTTCAAGGTTGGCACTTAAAGACCGAAAGACCGACCTTGAAGATTTCAGATCTGCCGAAGAGGAAACTAACAAAAGATGCCTTAAACAAGAGATTTTGGACAGTGTTTCTTTATAACTGTGATCAATCACGACAATGAACAGTTCCTCCGTAGAATTATGCTCAATCATCTACTTTCAATCATCAAATATTGTATCACATGTTTTTAGATAACACATATATATAATTCAGTTTTAATATATGTACTTTTATGTTTTTTTGTTAATTCTAGTATGAACATTTAACGCCAAATTTCATTTTGTCAAGGCAAAAACTTGTTGAAAATTTTACCTTGACCTTTTAACAGTTGATCTGAAAGTACGATTTGAACCTTTCTTAACCTCTAAATGACATATCCTAATTTGCTGACTAGCTAAATTAAAGAAAACAATTCAATAAGACCTGTTATAATACTAGACTAAGACTAGACAAACATTTTTCTATATTTGATCATGTAATTTCACCTTAACCCTTGACCTTGAATTTTGTGGAAATGACCTTGGTATTTGACCAGCTTGATTAATAAAAACTAATAAATATAATGTCCTTCAAGTTATCCTTGATTTAATATTATCCTATTAATTGAAGTTAACATGAAGAAAATTAAAACATATCGGGAAGTGGAGTAATTTTTTTCTAGTTATTTTTTTTTATTTTGACCTTGACCTTCGATCTTGATTTTTTTAATCTGGCAAGTTTTATTTGGATTTCTTTCTTTATAGCAATAAACAATGTAAATATATATTATTAACATTAAACAACAGCCAGGAATATCATTGGAAATCTACAAATTTTGTCAAAATTGTCAATATTTTAGATCTTTGACATTGACCTCTGACCTTGACCTTTAGAGTATTGATCTTAAATTCCTTATCAATCTTTTGCTTTTCATATCACTCATTTGCCTATCCTTTTTGAACATTTTGGTTAATAATTGAAAGTAAAAAAATAAAAAAACATTACTTTGATATGTGTCAAATGCAGAAAATTTGCAACTGGGTGGGGGCTTTTTGGGGTTCATGTTTCACTATAAATACTTCTTACCCCACTATATTTTTTTTTATTTTGGACAGCATAATAATAATGTTCTTTGAAAAGAGTAATAACTTTATCAGTGATTTGGTGCATTTTTATATATTAGCCTTAGAAAACCATTCAAAATTTGACATTAAAAAAAATGAAAAAAGGGGGGTGACCTTCTATATTTTTTTTATCGTAAGGAAATATTGAAATTTATCAATAGATATATTTATGTCATGATTAAACTTTATTAAGTTCATGTTTTCTTTGTTACTGCCCTATCAGTTATGCACAATGAGAATTGAATTACAGAAAATGGCAAAAAAAAAGGTATTTTTCCATGTAAAATGGACGAAAATAAGCAGGAGTGGTTACCATGGCAACCATACTGAAACTTTGAATTTTTATATCGTTTAAGTTATTGTAGGGTGGTAACAGATTCTGTCTACAAGTATGACCCAATTCTGAGACTATGCATGTCTGGCCCCTTCATTAAAATTCTGGTCCTTACAGAGAATTCTTCTTAATTACTGAGTCCTGTCAATAAAATAAAACAATATATTGTGAAACAATTGGATCACTGATTCCTGTCAATAAGATATTACATATATATGAAAAAAAATATTGTGAAAACATTAATTAATTCACTAATTCTTGTAATAAAACATTACTAAATATATATATACATGTACATGTTCCTGGATGTGGAATGGTCAAGTTTAGATTGTCCATATCAGGGAAGTTCTCTGAAGTTCACTAATATTGACAAGTCCAACTCTCACATAATTAATGACAATGAGCTCATTGCATACTTCATGAAGTATTTCTAGGTGCATAAAGGGGCATAACAATAGCAATATATAACTGAAATATAAGATTATTAATATTATCCATATTGGTCATCATCTGCAAGTTAAACACATAATTATTCAAATCATATTACCTTCTTATATAATGAACATAAAACATATTTAGAAATATACATTTGTATATGATTAACCTGTGAATAATTTGGAAAGAAAATATTTATAATTAAAATAACAATAAAGAAAATATTAATAATCAATATCAAAACATGCAAGCATTCTATATCAAAACAAGCAAGCATTTCAATAAGCAAATATAAGTGTCTTTTGTACACATATTCAATATAGACAATTAATGTCCAACAGTACAATCTTCACATTTTTCACCATTGGTAGTCAAAAAAAAGTTACTAGTTTTCAACGATATTGTTTATACATCATGATACATGTCCACCTGGTTTCTTCTTCTGTTTGATTGTCATAGTAATTTTGCAGATATCATTATCAACTTTCATATCACATTGTCTTTTAATCTACATCAATATTCATGTAAAGTTAATAAAATGTCACTTCGGGTCACAAATCTCTGCTAATAAGTTTTATAATATCAAATAAATTTTCACTAGCTAATATGATATGTCCATCATTGTTTGTCTTTCTTTAATTTTAAATGCACAATTTGGTCACTTCTGTGGGTCCACCATTTCTTCATTTTGCGGGTCCACCATTTCTTCATTTTATGGGTCCACCATTTCTTCATTTTGTGGGTATTGGTACTTTACTTCATCAATGTAAGTGCAACCAATAGCATAATCATACATGACACCAAAAACCCTTATACCTTATTATCTTAAGTTCATTTTAATTTGGGGAATTTTTATTTATCTCTCAAATATTCATTAGAATACCACAATTTTAGGCCAATATATATATTACCTATTTATTAATATCAACATAAATTACATACAACATGTAAGAATTTCTAATTATCTTCCCTTCTTTATATTCTAGCTTAATTCCTATACGTTTGTCTTCTTATTTCTAATTTATCTATATAACAACTGTACGCCAGTTTATTTTTGTACTTCCTATTTAGGTACTCCCTAATTATTTGTTACTCTTCCACTAAAAATATTTAAGTCATAATAAAAAAGACAACAGTTCAAAAATAGTGATGCCTATATACAATGTATGTATAGGGACCACTTGATAGTTCTATTTGTATCATTGATAAAGTAAATTTTGTATAATCTGAAGTAAAATTGGTTTAAAGTACATCAGTAGATGTGCCGTTTACCTGCAATATTTAAGGATCTAATAGTAAGAACTACTAATGTAATGAATACATTTGTCCAGCAGGATTAAATTAACAGACACTATAACTTCTGAATATTGTGTACTTTAACCAGAAATTCAGAACAAAAATAACACTTTTCAACGATACAAAAGAATAAGCATTGTCACATTGCATTTATGAATGCTTATAACACTACTTGAATATCTTTAGTTATAACATCTCATCCACTCATCTTCATATTTATCTTGAAAAATTTTAAGAAGTCCTGGGGGACAAGTTTCAAAAGGAACCCATTCTGGATCATAAATATGTCTTTGCTCATAGTGGATGAAACATTTTGGGACATTATTTTCTATTTTAAAATGTGTAATGTGAGAGCCTGTAACAAAACATGCTGGTCCCATATCTTTTGTTTGTGAATTCCCTGTAAGGGTCAACATAATGTTATAAAACTGGTCACCATAAAAATAAGCAAGCAAATTTGTAAAAGCATGCTGATCTTCCCCATTTACTCTGTTTAAAGGTTGATAATGTGATATTCTGTTATTTCTCAATATGGTTTTGACAAAAAATCTGTTATTCTCCAGTTTAACAGCTTGTACTGGAAATTTATCCCAATTTATTTTTGGTCTTTGTTTATATTTTACATCATTGTTTTGGTCTATTGCAGTTACATTTTGTGGTTCATTTGAAGGTTCAAAAAATTTATGTTTGTTTTCTAGTAATGGTCTTTTTCTCTTTTTACCAGTATGCGTTCTGTTTTCATGAAATTCTCTTCTCATATTCTCTGAGATTTTATCTTGGTGTACCCATTCTGTTTTTGACATGTTTTTAATTTTTATTTTGTAGCATAGTTTCTTGTTTACCCATGCCGATGATATAATCTTTTCAACATCATCAGGTGTGATTTGTATTTCTGTTGTAGCTTGTTGAGCAGTTTTATTTATATTTTGTTTGTTTTCTATAGAATTGTCAGGAGGCACTGCTTTATTTTGCTTTGAAAGTTTTGATTGACAATGTTTGTTTTGATTATTCCTGGGTGCATTTTTGGGTTGAGAATTCGATATTCTGTCTTGTGTTAGATTTTCAGGGCCTTCATTCTGGACTTGTTGATTTTCACCTTCATCATCCTCATCTTCTTCAAATGGATCATCAGTGTCATCTAGGAGGTAGTCAGGGCGGTCTGTTTTACTGTTAAATACTTTCAGACGACTTGCATTAACTAATTTCTTTGAGATTTTGTTATCGCTGTCCCTTCTTAGCTTAAAAGTATTACATTCTGGGGGGCCAAGGTTTGTTATTGTAAATGGGCCTGTCCACCTAACTTTTAATTTTGGACTTTGACCTTTTTTAACCTTTACAAAATAGCATTACTTTGTCACCAGGTAAATATGTGGGTTTTACTGCTCTTTTGTCATGCTGTGTTTTGTATTTTGCTTGTGCTCTTTTTGTGTTTTCTGCAGCAACATCCCTTGTTAATAGGAGGTCCTTAATAAATTTATTGAGGTATTCTCTGTGGTTTTTAGGCAATGTTGACTTTGGAATTAAGGCAACATCAATAGGTGCTCTCATTTCTTGTCCAAAGAGAAGGTGAAAAGGTGAGTACTGAGTAGACTGAGTAGCTGGTGTCATTCTATAAGCCATCATTATAGGTGCTATATAGTTTGGCCAATCTGTCTGTTTTTCCAGTTGAGCTCTCAACGATTGCACAATAAATGAGTTCATCCGTTCACACGCTGCATTTGTTTGTGGATGATATGCACTTGTATAGTGGCGTTTGATTTGGAGAAGCTCACATAAAGCTGCAACAAGCTTCGAAAGAAAATTGGCTCCTTGATCAGACACAATACAGCGGGGTGCACCGAAACGGGCAATTATCTCCCTAAAAAGGATGCTGGCTACTTCTGTTGCTTCTTGTGTCCTCATGGGAAAGGCTTCACACCATTTGGATCCACTATCAACCACCAACAGCAAGTAACGATATTTTTCTGGAGTCTCTGGGAGTTCTAAAATATCCATGTGCCATCTTGAAAAAACTTCTTCTATTGGCATTGGTTTTAATGGCACTGGATGGCTGTGTGTATCCCTTTTAGATCTTTGGCAGATTTCACACGTCTTAATGTATGTCTTGATATCTGTGTACATGTTTGGCCAGTAATATCGTTGACGTACAGCTTCATATGTCCTTTCTTCTCCTTGGTGACATCCAACAATATTGTCATGGAAAGCTTCTAGTACCTCCTTCCGTAGGGTTCTTGGTATTGCTAGCTGCTTAACCATGTTCTGGCCTTTTGGTAGACTTCTTGATCTTGCATTAAAAAAATGATAAAGTATGCCATTATCAATTTCATAATGGAAGGCTTTCGCATCCAGTTGTCTAGCTTTCTGTCTTTCTTGAGGTACTTGGCCTTCTAATTTGTAACTAAAAATTTCAACAAAATCTGGGCAATGTCTTTGGAGGTGCCGAAATGTTTTACGTTTCTTAAACTGTTCTGGGTCAATGTTTTCTAATGTTTCATCATCCTCATTACTAGTATCTGTTATTGTAAGAATGTTTGGTCGCTGTTCGTCATCTCCTTTATAATCAAATGTTATGATTTCGTACTTCTTATTGCCCATGGCTGCAACGGTTTGTTCAATTTCATTCTGCGGAAAATTTTCTGGGCCTATCTTTTCATACTCTCTTCTTGACAGGGCATCTGCATTATTTTTCTTCCCAGGTCTATGCATTATTTCGAAGTCATATCCTTGAAGTTCAAGTGCCCATCTACCCAGTCTCCCTTGTATATTTTTAATTGTATCTATCCAACGAACAGTTATATTATCTGTATAAACTGTAAATTTGTGTGTGGCCAAATATGGATTAAAATGTTTTATTCCCTCTTTAAGTGCTAACCCTTCTTTTTCGTTTATGTGCCATTTTTGTTCATTTTTATTCAGTGATCTACCACCATAAGCTACGACATGTTCAAGTTTTGTGTTTGGATTTAATTGTCCAAGGACATAGCCAATAGCATAATCAGAAGCATCCACTGACAAAACAAATGGTTTATCAAAGTCTGGAAACACTAAGATTGGAGCTGAGACAAGGCTGTGCTTCAATGTTTCAAAAGCTGCTTGACAATCTTGTGTCCAGATATATTTCTTATTTTTCTG